CTTTTGTATCAGATTTATTAAATAGGGTGAGAATAAAAGGACCAGAAAGATTAGGATTATGGGAGATACAAAGGGCAGGAGACACTGGATAACAGAAGGAAAAGAAAAATTCCATGTGGAGTCTCGCGAGAAGCTTTAACAAATTCTTACAGCTTGATTTTGGAGTCTGGCTGCGCCATCCCTGACCAGGTCGGATTTGTCAGTGTAAGAGCAACATTGTTCTTGGAGGAGGGCACAAATGCCTCCCTGTGCTGCCTTCAAGAGGTTGAAGCCCCGACAGTTCTGTAAAACAACAGCCAGCGAGTCTACCTAATCTTGGAGATTGACAAGTTGTATAGAAATGTCTTCAAGACTGGCAGAAATTTTTTGGATAGGCGGCTGAATTCTGTTAGGGAAATCCTTAATCTTGCCGTTCCTGCTCCGGCCCTGTTAGCGACTTCCAGGGTGGCCAAGAGGGGGACAAGTTGTACAGCCCTATTAGCTTTAGTCTTGATCCTGGCATGGTGTGGCACAGGGATGGGAGTGTCAAGCATAGCAAAGAAAATGGAAGGAGATAAGAAAACTAGTGTACTCCTGTCCAGTTGGTGGGGAGACACAAAATGGCCGAAGTTCCACAGAGCCAGAATGCACTGTCAGTGTAATTAATACAAAGAAAGAGGTTGAAAGTGATTAGTGGAGCAAAGGGTCTTCCGTTGTTTGGGAGTGATAACCAGAGGTGTAGGCTGTGTCCTAAGGAGGATGCCATAAATGAAGTAAAGGTGTCAGGAGGGAGAGGAGGTATTTCAGAGGTGAGGCATAGCCTGTATGGGTCCAGAAATAGACTGACAATCTCATCAAAGGTAGGGCCCTGGTCTGTTAATTGGAAAAAGTCTGACTTGGAAGTTAGGGACCTATTACCCCAGTCCCATACAATAGTGGGAGAAGTGGTCTGAAATGTTTCCAGAAAAGGTAGGGAAGTTGGTAAGTCAGATCTGATTACATGGCCAATATGTTTTGCTATATGGAGCCTGCCAATCTCTGTGTGACTGGGGTGGGGATAGGATGATGGTGCTGTTGCAGCTTCCTTCAGGGAGGGTTCCCGCTGGAGTGGATTGTATAAAGGGTTGTCTAAATATACAAACGGGAGCCTGAAAAGCTATGGTTAGTCCCGTTTGAGTTTGCCCCTGGACTAAACACTGAGGGCATTTTATGATATTAAATCATCCTGAAGGCCGTTGCCAATCCCTGTGAGTTTGCATGGAATATTTGGTGAGAAGGTATTTTAGGATTCCATTCATCTGCTCTACTTTTCCAGAAGATCAGGGGCACTAAGGGATGTGGAAGTTCCAAGTGATGTTTAAGGCTGAAGCAAGATTCTGAATAACCTGCAAGATGAAATCAGATTCTGTTGTCAGACTGTAGGGAAGTGGGGAAACGAAGTCTGGGAATAACATCGTGTAAGAGCTTTTCAAGGCCTCTACCCATCTTGAAAGAGTGTCAAGGAACACCAGAGGATAACATGTTTTCTGCATAGCGGGCATCTGAGTGAAATCAACTTGCCAATCCTGTCCAGGTAGTGAGCCCCTGACTTGGTGAGTGAGGAAAGTGGGAGACCAGATGCTGGATTAAATACAGGGGGTTTGACAAATATTACATTCCTTGGTAAGAGTTTGAAGTAATTCCTTGTGTTGAGGTAAAAAGTGAATATGAGTGGTGAGAAAGTGTTGAAGCGGAACGGGGCCTGAATGGAAGAGAAAGTGAAGGCATTTGAGGAAAGGTAGGGCAAATTTATCAGGGAAGACTAGCTTATGATTCTTATACCAATACGTATTTAATAAAAGTGCCCTCCCCTTAAGCTTTTTGATTTGGGGTTGAGTATATTGTGGATTGTCCTCACCAATCAGAAGGAAAATATGATGAGGAATAGCCTGATGTGAGGTGGCCTGTTTGGCCCAACAGTCAGTCTCTTTGTTGCCTATGGAAGTATAGCTTAGGTTCTTTTAGGGGCTCTTACAATGGATGAGGGAGACTTGATCGGGGAGTAAGGCAGTCTGGTGGAGGGAATTAATTAATTTGCCATTAATGATAGGAGAGCCTTTTGCCGTTAAGAAACCTTGTTTTATCCATATTAGGGCATTGGAACATAGCATGTTATATACATATTTAGAGTCTATATAGATATTAACCTTTTTCCTTCAGCCAAGGTTAGAGCCCGGGTTAAGGCAATTAGTTCTGCTTGTTGGGAAGTTGTCCCAGGGGGCAAAGGGGATGCTTCAATGATCTGTCTTGGTGGAAATTGTTGCCCTGTGTCAGGGCCCTGGAAGGCCTGGACAATGGCATAGCCCACTGATAAGGGCACTGCTTTAGTAGCACTGCCATCTGTGAACCAGTCAGGGGCACCTGGTATGGGATTGGTGCCAATGTGGTGAAAGGGAGTAATGGAGTCATCAATAATATCAGAACAACAGTGAAAGTCTTCAGGGTCTATGGATGATTAGAAGGCATAAGAGTGGTCAGCTTAGGTGGTGAGCAGCACTGAAAGGAAATGGAGGGCTATATCAGGGTGGCATGAAGAGCTTGAATTCTCCAAAGAGAGACAGAAGAAAGAGCTCTGTGACTTGACATATCCTGGAGGTTGCAGGAGGAAAAACTACTAGAGGCTCTTAGAAAGTCATCTTTTCTGCTTCTGGGATAAGTAGAGAAGCAGTGGCTAATATCCTCAAGCATGGTGGCCACCTCTGGTAAATGGGGTCTAATTGTTTAGAAAAATAAGCAATTGGTTGTATAGAATCTCCTACAGGCCAGGCCAGGAGGCCCAGGTCCAGATTTGGGGTGCTGTGAAGATGTAAATTGAAAAGCCTGGAGGGATTTGGAAGCTCCAACATGGAGGCTTGTTGTAGAGCAAGGGTCTTGTTGGATGTACACATAACAGGGGTAAGGGGAAGGGGTTCACCTAAGTTTCCCTTTCTAGCATTGTATAAGGGTTTGGCAATTAAGGTGAAATTGGGGATCCATATACAAAAATACCCTGTGAGGCCAAGAAAGGAGAGGAGGTCTCTTTTCATGGCAGGCAGAGGTATATTTTGAACTGCCTCCTTTTGCTCTTTTGGGATTTCCTGGAGTTGGGGTGATATTAAAAGCCTGAGGTCATGTACTTTGGGAGTCAAGAGTTGGGCCTTGTTCTGAGAGACCCAGTATCCACACTGGGCCAAGAAATTGAGAAGGGAAATAGTTTTATTCCAGCATTCTTGCCAGGAAGGGCTGCAGAGTAGGAGGTCATTTACATATTGTAATAGAGAGCTAGGGGCTGGGGCAAAGCTGGCCAAGTCAACCTGTAAAGCTTGACCGAAATAATGGGTGCTGTCTCTGAACCCTTGAGGTAGAACTGTCCAGGTCAATTGATGGGATTCATGTGAGTCAGGATCTGTCCAAATAAATGGGAATAAAGGTTGAGAATCTCCATGGATGGCGATGAAAAAGAAGACATCCTTTAAATTGAGAACAGAGGAAAGGGTGGCAAAGGAGGGTATTTGCAAAAGGAGGGTGTAGGGATTAGGCAGCACTGGGTATACTGGGATCATTGCTGCATTCACTTGAGGGAGGTCCTGAACTGGACAGTAGGAGCCACTTGGTTTTTTGATAGGAAGAGTGGGGGTGTTATGAGGAGAGTAAATAGGGGTAAGGATACCTGCAGAGAAGAGTCAAAAAATGATAGGTTTTATGCCTTTCAGTCTGCAAGCTATTGGGAAACAGATACATAGTGACTGGGATCCCTCAGGAAAACCCACACAAGGTAATGATGAGAGGCTATGACTGGATGGTCAGTGTCCCAGACTGATGGGTCAATTTCTGAAAGTAGAGTCTCCTCACTTTTTGGAAGGGGGGAAGCTCTTGTCAAAGAAGCAAGTGTCAGGCTGGAGTGTGTTGCAGGAAGTGAATTTGTCTGCCTAGTTTATGGAGGAGATCCCAATAAGAGAGTGGGGCAATGGGGAATAACTAAAAAAGGATATATAAAACTGGTATTGAAAAAGGTATAATAAAGAGGGGGTGTTTCAAGTGGGGTTTCCTTGATGCCCTTCATGCCAATTACAGAGATGGAGGAATGGTGCATCAGGTCATGGAATTCAGTTAGGACAGATAAACTTGCCTCTATATCCAGAAGAAATGAAACAGTCTTACAGGATACTGTCCCGATTGCCCAAGGTTTAGTGGACATGCCGGATGTGGGGGCTGATGAGCCCTGGCAGCCTCAGTCCTCTGCTGTCAGCACCACGAGGGAGGAGAGCTCTTAGGCAGAGGTCTGGAGGCTGCACTGGAGTGCACCTCAGAAGATGCATTTCAGTGGAGAGGGTGTCCCTATTGATGGCAGTCCATCTTCCAGTGGCCCCATTGGCCACATAATGGACACAGCCTAGAGTGGGAATGAGGATTAGGACAGGTGAAGAATTGCTTCCTGCTATGTGCAGTTCAAGTATGGCAGATGACAGTGGGCAGAACAGCTGTTGGTGGTAAATTCTTCCTCAAACAACCAACTCCTATGACAGCTTTGCCCTAGTCACATCCATCCTTCTGCTCTGGCTTCGTCTTTATCAGGAGAGCTAGAAGGGATAGCCTCTATCTGTCCCTTCTAGGAGGAGGAAGGAATGGTAGCTGCAGCTGTCTGTCAGATCTACCGTGTTTCCCTGAAAATAAGACAGGGTCTTATATTTATTTTTCCTCAAGAAGACACCCTAGAGCTTAGTTTCAGAGGATGTGTTATTTTCCCCTCAAAACCTCAGCTTGCAGCACGCACAGGATGGCCGGGACCTGACTGGGGGAGCCGACCTTGTTGGCGGTGCTGCCCGCACCTGTCTGGACACCTCTGGGATAGTAGTTGGGATGATGGGGCAGATGAGAAGGGCTGCTCGTCTTCTTTACCAGTCCACAACCAAATGCATGGGTTGTGAGGATACGCTGGAGAGCCACGCCCATCACTAGGTCTTATTTTCAGGGTAGGGCTTATATTGTGCAAATGCTTAGAAATCCTGCTAGAGCTTATTTTATGGGTAGATTTTATTTTCCGGGAAACACAGTACTAAGGAGAAATAAACTTCATCTCTATCGTGGAGAGAGGGGGAAGGAATGCTGTCTGTAGCTGTCTGCCAGACCTATTAGGTCTGGGGACCACCCCCCAGACTCCGGCTATTGTTTTACAAGCCTAAGTTTTGCATTAACCACATTCTATCCTATACATACTTTTCTGGTTCCCACCTGGAATAAACCTAACAATTGGGGCCATGCCACATTACAAAAGAAAATGAGGCGTTTCTCTTTAAGGTCGCCCGGTAGGTCCAGTTTCTAAAGGTTAAGAAGAAAACGCCCCAAAGGGGAAGATGGCAGAATGGCAGAGGCGCCCGAGTCCAGGGTGAAGTTGGCGGAAGGTCTCTCACTGACTCCAAAAGGCGTCCCCTTCAAAGGGGCGAGAACCGGAAATGAACCTCCAGAAAGGAGGTGAGAGGAGGCAGCTGAGAATCAGGCTTCCCCGCGTCCTCAAGCCACGAGCAAGGCTTGAGGAACATAAGGACGGAACATAAGAACAAAATTCCCTGAGGAACATAAGGACGGCTGAATCCCACCCCCAGGTATCCTGGGGGACCAGGTAGAAAGCCACTTCTTACCCGTGCTGAGGAGAATTGTTCAGCTTTTGGATGTCTGAGAGGGAATCGGCAAATGGCCTCCCGCTGCCAAAGCCAGGAAAGCGAAAGCGAAAGAGAGGGGAGAGAAGAATCCAGAAACCTTGTGGTGACTGGCAGGTTGGTTGAAACCCCCTACTTGGACGTGACCCTGAAAGACCTAATCAGAGAGCTGGGCGGACTGCCTTCTCCTGTAGCAGCTGGGGGGTTCGGACACGAAAAAGGCAAGGGGTTCTGACAGGCTGTTAGTGGAACACTCGAGAATCCGGAAGTGAGCCCAGACCCGAGCTGCCACGGCCCGCTGCTTCCTGGTTGCGAAGAGGCCCGTTCTTGATGCTCGTCCTGGGTTTCGGCACCAAAATGTCAGGTAAAATGGGAAAAGAATAGAGTCAGGAGATGGCTTTGGCGGGCAAAGACAGGTTTTAATAAGGAAACCTGAGAAGGGCTTCTGACAGAGAGGGCAGAAGCCCCTGCTCTCACAGGCTGCGGGTTTTTAGGGGCTTTCGGAGGGGCGGTATGGGGCTGGAGGGGGTGGAGACCTTTTTGGCGGGAAACAGGTGCTTATGTTCTTTGAGGGAATGTTGAAAATCGTACTGCTCAGGAAGAAGCAAGATGACAGTTGTCCTTTTGCATTCCTGTCCCTCAGAAAATTGACTTTACTTGAGAAAAAATGGAAACAGGAATATTAGAAGAATCTGTCATAGTCCAAATGTGAAATATTGAATCTTGTTTGGTGGTGAAAGTAGTGATGCGAAAAGTGTACGTAATTTGTTAATCTTTTGTAAAGTAAAAAGGATTATGTGTTTGGATTAGGAGAAGGAAAGGAAGAAATCAAGGATTATCTCTATGGTTTTTTTTGGAAAAAAAAATTGTGGATGGAGTACTGGTTGCTGAGAAGGTGAATACTGGAAGTAGAATGAGTTTGGGACAGAGACCAAGAGTATCTTTTTAGAGGTTGTAACTTTGGGATTTGAGTTATTTGTTAGGTAAATAAGTGATCATGCCCAGACAATTGTATCTGTGTGTGTGTGTGTGTGTGTGTATCTATTTATATCTATATCTAGTTATTTCAAATGAGGGCAATGCTTGAAATAGAGATTTGGGGATGATAAACATAAAAACAGTACTTAAAATCATGGGACAGGATAAGTGCATCTCAAAAAGCTAAGCAGTTAAAGAAGAAAATGAATTCCAGAATATATTTTAAAATAATGTCAAACTTTAAAGAGAGAAAAGAGAGATAGAGATAGAGCACAAGAGAGAGAGAGAATGAATTAGCAGCCAGCACAATATAGAAAGTAGGGTGCCAAAGACAAACACTACTAAATTAACACTCATTCCTTGGCAATGAACATTTTCAAGGGTGAAATAAGAAAAAAATACTTTAGTATTTTCTGATATTCATATTCTCAATGAAATAAATGTTCATATTTATTTATAATGAGATAACTTATTTAAAAAAATAAAGGATTCATTTTTCTTCTTCAAAGATATATAAAGTGCAGTGAGCATATAAAAGAGAGTGATATTTTATCATATGTGCAATACTATATAAATACAAATTTCTTAACATATAAAGTAACATTGTGCTTGCTTTCCAACTCTAGGACTTAAACTTCTCTGTTTATAAATGTGTCTTTCATTGTCTTGGAATACAGCAGGACAGAACTAAAACCACAACAGAAAGTCTTTTTTGCTTTGTGTAACTATGATGATTAAGATGACATGTCATAATGGTCTCTTAACTACTGAAAGATTGATCATTTTTAAAAGCAAAGGAATTTGAAATAGCCCTTTTTTTCTGATACATTTACAATTCTGATGTTAATTAGAATAAAGCAATCAGAATATAAAAGTCACCAAGAAGAAAGTTTCTAGAAAATTAGTATGAAAAGAAATCCAGATGCAAAAATCCATATATTTTATTTCTGAAGTGATATACTAGATTTACTTGTTTTTCTAAAAGAAACAAGCATTCAAGAAAATGTTATGGTTTTATAACAAAGGACACACCACATCTAGCACAAGCAATTATGAATAATATGTCTTTGGGAGCAACTCACAACAGATTGGAACTTCTGCTGTTCATTCCACTAGCAGGACAACTATGTTTCCATGCTGAGCTGCTGAATGTGAATATTTATTAAAGGTATACTATAATACTTTTATTTATCTGATAATTTCGAAAATGGAAATATTTGTAGACTAACACTATTATTTAGAGAATAAATTGTAAATGTTAAAAACTATAGCCGGGATTGGTGGCTCATACCTATAACCTAGCTCACTGGGAAGCTGAGGTGGGAGGATAGCTTGAGGTCAGGAGATCGAGACTAGCCTGAGGAGGGGCCAAACCCCATCTCTACTAAAATAGAAAACAATTAGCGGAGTGTGGGGAGTGTGGTGGCACATGCCTATATTCCTAGCTATTCAGGAGGTTGAGGCAGGAGGTTCTCTTGAGCCCAAGAGTTTGAGGTTGCCATGAGGTAGGCTGATGCCACAGCACTCTAGATAGGGTAACAGAGCGAGACTCCGTCTCAAAAACAAACAAACAAACAGAAACTACAAAGACTGCTTATATCATTTAATTCAATGACAGAAAGCCATTATTTAATCCTTAACTAAAATCTTGATGAAGCATTGCATTTTATGTATAGTAGAAATACAATGATAAATTCTAACATATCTATATGGTAATTTTTAGGAGAAATAATTTCATAGAATAATTTATGCAAAATAATACATAATGAAATATCTTCCCAGCCATTCATTTCAGTAAAACAAAAGTACAGTTTTAATAGTATTAAACATATTTTATACTTTTGATTAGATAATATAAATATTTTTATAATGTATTATAGAAAGTATTTAACATTTTATCTGTCCTCTAAGGATTATAAGTCTCTTTAGATTTTATTATGTTCTCTTATATAAAGTATATCCTAAGAAGGGTTTCTTAAAATAAATATTTTATTATTAAAATACCTAGCTTCATTATAAACTTTTACTTTTGCTTATTACAAAGATTTTTCATGTTGTTTTCCTTTCACCATTTTAGCAACTATTTTCTCTTTCCCAGTTTTTCTACACTTCTGATATTGATAAAATAAAACATTTAGAAAAATTATATTTAGTAGAGTTTATTTGAGCAAAAAGTGTTTTATGAATCTGGCAGCTCTCAGAACCAGAAGAGGTTCAGAGTGCTCCACCCAGAAAAGCAGGCAGAGACAGAAAAAAATAAGTGAGATACAGAAAGAGCTTGCTTGGTTACACTTCAGTATTTGCCTTATTTGGGGATGGTATGATGAGATATTTGCTAATATAGACTTGGTCTAATCATCTGGCAACCTGTGATAGGTGAAACTTTGTTGCTGTGTTTGGCTGAGACCCGGCTATTTGTTACAAGAATATATTCTTAAATTAGGTTGCAGTTTGTATTCATATTAAATTAGGTTGTGGTTTGCTACGTAGGGAATCAAAGTACAAAGGCAACTTTAGGCCAAATATAATTTAATTTAATAATATTTATCTTCTATGTAACCCTAGTTATTTCTATGAAATGTCTACTATTCTTTCTCTTCATTCTGAAAAAAAATGGATGAAACCCAAAACAATTAAAATAATGAAATAGTATGTGTAGATGACAAAATTTAATATAAAATAATGTTTTAACATATCCTGAACTTTCTTCCTCTATGCCTCTTCTACCATCAATTTGAAAAAATTAAAAAAAAAAAAGTAAAAGTAATACTATGTGATGATGTTAGAACTGCTGAGTTACACTTGACTTTCAGTCTTGGTTCAAACTGGGTAAAAAAATGTGTTCACATTGGCAGAGGTACTCTTACCCATTAGTTTTCCAGTAAATATTAAAAGTATTATCAGGATTTTATTTATGGTCTAAATATATGAATTTTTAAGAAATAAAACGAACATTTTACCTACTCTTGAGGCCAATGAATACATTGACTTTAGCGCCATGTGATCCATCGCTCACACCATTTGGGGTTACAAGTCTTGTTTTTCAGCATCAGGGCCTGAGGACGTCCACTTAGGAATGTGGAAGGACAGAAAGGTTAAAGGGCCTCTGAAAAAAATTAAAAGGAAAAGAATAGAAATATGAAATGGGGAAGATGAGAGCCATACAAAAATGTGCGGGATTCCAAAGCTTGTTGGATGATAATGAAGACATGTTATTAAAAGAAAAACTCCTCATGAATATCACTTTATAGGTGATTGCATTTCTTTTGTGAAGAATGAAAGCTTATCAACTGAATTAATTATTTGGAATATTTTAGATGTATAAAATCATAATTATGAATGTTTGCATATATCACAAATATCATATACTACAATACTGAAAGAATATTTTAGTTTTAAAAAAACATATGAACGAAACTATTGCCAAAAGCCTAACAACACCTAACAAAGTGAATTGCTAATTGTGACCACTTGATCTCATTAAATTTGGGTATAATTACAAGTGTATTATCATTTTCAAAATCACAAACCGGTTATATTTATAATCAAGTGTCTCCTACGGTGTCATGCACTATTTCTATAATTGGTCACATAGTTTAATTCTATTTTTTTAAGTAAAGTTTTGATCACAGAAAAATGAGTAAGAAAAGAGGTTGAGTTTTGCATAATGAATGTTAAATACTTTCCAGTGACCGGTAGAATAAATTAAGATAATAACTCACAAGTATGTGTAATAATTACAAACAGCCATGTTTTAAATTTAGCCTTATTAAAAAACAGTTTATTTACAACGTAAGTTTTTTGAGGTAGTATTTTAGAAGTTAGTCTTTGGAAAGTACAACAAGGGCTATAGCTGAGTAATATTTTAAATTATAAATGACTTTGATTGTTATTTTATTACTGGTTGTGTTAGTTCATAGTTCATTTGAAATGATTTACATTATATTGTGTTAGTCTTATAGAATGCCTGCTCAGATTTTTTATATAGGGTTTATTAAATCTTTGTTGAAATTAAATCTTTGTTGAAGATTCTTATGCAAATAAAATTTATCACAAATGTTAACTGTATTTTCCCTCAATAGAGAAAGAATAGTAATTCAAGATTTATCAATATGTTCATCAGATAATATAAATTAATTGTGGCTCATTCTGCTTTTGCCTTAAAATTACGTTTTAAGAAAATAATCATTCACTTTATTTTTAAGAATTTTCATCACATCTTTTATTTTGAAGAAGTAATCACATAATATGAGCAGAAATGTCAGAAAGTAATAATAAATTCTCATGTTTAATTAACACAAAATGTGAAAAAGGCAAAGATTTAATAAGAATATTTTTGTTGTGAAAATAAAATAGCAGTCATATTGAGTTCTGTTTAAAGTTAAG